TTAGGTCTCATTTTAAATAAGAGGCTTTTATAAGGTCACTTTCAGCCAAAAGTTGAAACCTGTGTCTTGAAAGTTTCAGATAAATGTGCGAATTGGGCAGATGAAATGACAGAGGAATGTAAAACCTATCTAAATGTATTCTTACTCAGTTTTTGATATAGTTTGTTTTGTTTTCTTTGGTTTTAAATACACGGGTAGGCCAGGTTGGCCGAAAGGCTAAGAATATGTGTAATCTTCTTTAAACTCTAAAACCTCTATGAGTGTAGGATCAGTGATCATGGTTTATTCTCAATTCTGCATCTTTGCTTATGTTCCCATTGATGACTACTGCTATCTCCCACTGCCCTACCCCCACCGTAACACACACACACACACACACACCACCACCACCACCACCACCACCACCACTACCATCATCATCATCACTCATATTCTTGAATAGCATGGAGAACAATTAGAACATTCAGTTAGCACAAGACAGCTGGGAAGGATTTAAACACCTTCTCTGGGAGCTCTGTGTACCCCTGGAGTTCTCTGAAATTAGATTGCAGACTGTGAATTAAAAGCGGAGTTGGAAGTTTTCCCTATTAGCTAGATGATGTTGGTTAAGATTCTCGAACTTCAGTTTTTTTCATCTTTAAAATGGAGATAATGCATGATATAGAGGGGCGCCTGGGTGGCTTAGTCAGTTGAGCGTCTGACTTTCGCTTAGGTCATGATCTCGCGGTTCGTGGGTTCGAGACCCGCGTCGGGCTCTGTGCTGACGGCCGGCTCAGAGCCTGGAGCCTGTTTCGAACTTCAGTTTTTTCATCTTTAAAATGGAGATAATGCATGATATAGATAACTTACAGGTTTCTTTTGAGAACTGAATAGCATGATGGTGATCATAGGAACCAATATAAATGTGCTTTACATATGTGATCTCATTTAAACTTTAATAAAAACTGTGTAAGTCAAACGTGAATAGCCTCAGTTTTACAGATTAGAAAGCTGTTGTTCAGGAAGGCCACCTTTACTGAAGTCACACAGCTGAGTGGGAGAAGACAGATTTAGATTCAGATTCAGGCCTACGTGACTCTAAAGCTTCCAGCACTGTCAGGGTTTCCTATCACTGCTGGAACAAGTTTCCACAAATCTGTGGATTAAAACAACAGCAATTTGTTATCCTACAGTCTGAAGGTCAGAAGTCTAAAATGGGTCTCAGTGGGCTAAGGTCAAGGTGTTAGCAGGGCTCTACTCCTGGATGGGAGAATCCATTTTCATTCCTTTTCCAGCTTCAAGAAAAGAAATGCCTACCTTGGCTCTTGCCCTCCACCACTGATATTTTCTCTGTGACTCCGACTCCTCTGTCACTATCTTCTACATATAAGGATCATTGTGACTACACTGGACCCACCTCAGTAATCTGAGAACATGTCCTTATTTTAAGATTCTCTGAGGAGCACCTGGGTGGCTCAGTTGGTTAAGCATCCAAGTTTGGTTCAGGTCATGATCTCAGAGTCTGTGGCTTCAAGCTGTGCATCGGGCTCAGTGCTGCAGAACGGAGCTTGCTTGGGATTCTCACTCTCACCTCTTTCTCTATCCCTCCTGGACTCGCACTTTCTCTCTCAAAATAAATGAATAAACTTAAAAAAATTCTTTTTATAAAGATTCTCTGATTTGCAAAATTAATTCCATCTGTAAATTTAATCCTCCCTTGCTATGTAACACAATATTTTCATAGATTCTGGGGATTTGGAAGTGAATATATGTTAAATTAATTAAACACAGAGGCCATTAGACCAGGGTGGCTCTAACGCTGTGGCTCTAATGCCTATGTAAGCAAACCAAAAATCTGCACCTACAAATTTCTCAAGGTTTGGGGATCAAAACACTAAGGACAACCAAATCATAACTAGCCAACTAGGCTTTAAACCATCGCCAATCAATATTTTCCTTACTTTGCTTCCACCATTTCTCTATGGAATCTCTGCCTGAGCTTCTGTCAGCAGAATGTTCCTAACCAACTTCTGGGTTGGCACTGCCCAATTAGAATCGATTTTTGCTCAAAAGAACTCTTAAAATTTTTTAATAGGCCTCAGATTATCTTTTCACACATCTTTGGGGGCCCACTATCCACATCCACTGACTGTATAGAATAGTAGAGTACGTATTAGTAAATGTATTTAGTGGATATCTGTTATTTTTATTCCTTCAGTATCTTTTCATTTAAGTTTTGTTGCATTGTCCTCACCTCAATCTCCTAGGGAACATCTTCTTATCCCTTTTGTTGCTAGTGAGTCTGCCAATTACATGATTCTACCTCTTGTGGCCATGATAGGGGCCATGATAGGGAGCATAGGTAAAGAATAGTAATGTACCACCCTAGACCCAGTATTGGGCCAGGGGTAAGCATACGACCCAAAATGGCAAATTGGTCCCCATTTTTAAGAATTGAGATAGAAGACCAGTTTTCTTTTTCTCTTTGGATTATGAGCCACAGGTTATGAGTTCAGAGATGCTAGCGGTCATGTATCTAGAGGCAGATACCCTGTCCTACAACATATGGAGAAACCTAAGAGAATGAAGGTGACAAAGTGAAGGTCAGATCACAGTTGAGAAACAGAGCTTAGGCCCTTTACTATTCAAATCTCATAATTCCATGAGATTCCTGCAGTTGGCTTTACCCTTACATTTCAGAGGTACGTCTGAAAAAAAAAAGAGCTCCAAAAAATGTTTTCTTATTTATGTCTTACTTACACATAATCACAAAAAGTTAATATATCTTTAATTTTAGCATTTTTCTTGACTCTGTTCATAAAATCTATGTTTTCCAAGTCTGAAGCTTGCATAAATTCTGGTCTTTTATAAGAATGAGGTCTTAAAAATAAAGTTGATCATATATGCTGGGAAAGTATCAGGAGCACAAGAATAAGATTAACAATCTGCCAAGATTGGCCTGAACACTACTGACATCTTATTCTCCCCAAATCTTATCAATAGATTTTTGAAAAGGGACACTTATGTCTAAAAAAACAAAACAAAAAAACTTTTTGTGTGAAAAACACAAAAATTAACTTTTTAACATATGTCATCTTTTCACTTTTTGGAAGTATTTTTATGTAATTAAGGAGCGTGCAAGTGTGTGTGTGTGTGCACACGAGTGTGTGCAGGCATACAGACCTTCAAGGAGCATAATCCCAACATGGATCATAATCTGATGGCAACCAAGAACTTCAGAGAAATATTCCCTGACAAATAGAATTGATGCACATACCAATGGGATGCATCGGCAGTGTCCTGTCTTTCTAGAGTTTCTTTCATAGGAAAGAAATCACTGGATTAATTCAGGGACTATATTTCCAATCCAGTTAGTACTTTTAATCATGTCCAATAACCTTGAGTCAGTGGCTGTTTGGTACAGATTCTCAGTGTTACATGCCAGGCCCAATTCTAGGAGTTTTACATGCATTAACATAATTCTCCCACGATCCTATGACAGTGTTTGCAGTAGTTAGACCTTTAAAGATCCTCTTCCCCCTAAGAGTCTCCTACCCTGGTTATTTGATTAGATACTAATCTGGGTACTGCTCTGAAAGGATTGTGCAGATATTATTTAAGGTCGTGGAACTTGAGATGCAGCGATTATCCTGGATTATCCAAGTATGGCCAATCTAATCATTTGAGACCTTAAAGGCAGAAGTTACTCAAGCTGGAGTCAGAGATTGGTGAAGGAAGACAAGAGAGGATAGCTGATGCCCAAGGGGAGGTCAGAATGATTCAAAGTGTGAGGAGGACTTGACCTACCATTAATGGCTTTGAAGGCCAAGGGAAAGGGTCACAAGCCAAAGAATGCTGATGTCCTTTAGACACTGTGAACCCCCATCCAAACGCTAGCAAGGAAGTGGGGCCTGCATAGAACTGAGGTCTGGCAACAACCAGGAACAGGTTCTCCCTCAAGAGTCTCCATTGAAGAACCACTGCAGTCCCAAGGACCCTTGACTAGTGTGGTTCTAGATTTGAAGAGACTGAGCAGACACAATAACTAAATTCAACAAGTAGTTCTTGATTAGATTCTGGGAGTGGATAGGGTAGTTTTAAAGAATGTTGTTGAGACCACTGGAGAAATATGAACTTGCCGCACGTGTTATATCAAAGTATTTTGTCAGTGTTATATCTCCCAAGTGTGGTAGTATTGTGACTCCTTAAGAATACTATATACTCAGGCGTTTAGAGACGAAACGCCATCATTCCTGTCTATGTAGCTAGGGGAAAAGCAAATGGGTAAAATGTTAAGTTGCTGAATCTGGATGAAGGGTATACAGATGTTCACTGAACTGCTTTTGCAACTTTTCTCCAAAAAGCTTTTTTTTCATTTTTTAAAATAAAAACTTGGCAAGGAAAAAATATTGCTTTAGATAGTGTGCAGAATGAATGTGAGATGCGTAGGAGGAAAGAAGACCAGATGAGAAGTTATTCCCGCGGTCAGGTACTCCAGGCTTGGAGTAGGACAGTGGCTGCGTGTTAAGAAAAGCTTCCCCACCCCACGCGCACCTGGGCCAGTGCAGTAAATCCGCGCGACAAAAGCTAATCATACAACTATATATGTAACGAGAGATCCCACGGGCATCTCCCAGCCCAACGACTTGTATGCGGAAAAGAGTGTGGTGGTCCAGCTGTTTTCAAACTTGGTGGATACAGGACTCGAGCAGCAGCCAGCTCACGCGCGCACCTAGCGCAGTGGCCCCAGAGGGAAGAGTCCACGTCTGCAAGTCAGAAGGGGAAAGGGGCATCTTGAAGTTATTCTGTCCTTCCCTTCACAAGGTATCTCCAAAATCTTCGGGCCTTTCCCCCACAGAATTTCCTTCTTGCTGAGTGTCTCCTTGAAACTAACATTTAATTAACACTCAGGGTGAGCTACACAAATACGTGTGTTTCAGCTCTCCCTACTTCCGCCGCGTGCGCCGGTCCGCGAGGGGCGGGAGGAGGAAGCGGAAGTGCTGGCGTCCGGGGACAGACCACCTGATCCGACGGCCGTGTGACTCGCAGCGGTTTGGAATGGAGGGCTGCAGCGAGCCTCAGCTGGATGCCAAGTCCAAGGTAAGTCCTGTCCGAGAGGAGCCGGGGCAGCGGGGCTCTGGAGTTAGAGAGATCGTTCCCTAAATTGTGTTCTCTGCTTCCATTTCAGGTCGCCAACCAGGTGAGTGAATGGCTGCCCCGCCCTCGGCTGGCGTCAGCTGGGCAAGGGGCGGGCGCTAGCACCTGGCCCTCCTGCTTCCAGCAGCCTGGGGATCAAGCCCCTGTGAGCCTTTCCCAGCTGCCCCCCCCCGCCCCCAGGGCCTGTGTCTACGAGTCTTTGACTTCCGTCCCGCCACCCAGAATTGCTCTTTCCACTTTGCATCGGACGCAGTAACTTCTGCCATTGTCATTGAAGCTGCGCAACCCACTCCGGCCCAAAGAGGACAGAGCAATTACTGTTCTTGCTGAGCGTTTATTCAAAGCCAGGTACACGGTATTGTAGCGTGTGATATATAGAGAAGAAATTGTTAAAACTTAACAAAGATAGCGCTGCAAACATCTTCACAGTCTTTAAAAAAGTTATTTTGAAGATAGATCGTATACCTCTCTTAACCTTTCAATGTCTACGTTTTTTATGCCAGAAATAGGAATTTGAATTTTTAAGAATATCTTATGCCTCTTTGTTCTAAGTGTTCCTGTCCTGTTTCAGGTGATAAATCATTTTTAGACACATAACTTAATAACACATTTCCCAGAGGAACAGTAATAAAACTAGTGCATTTTGGTTCAGGAGTTTCCCAGGCCCAAACAAAATATGAGGGGTGAGATAAGAAATAATGAGAGTCCAGGGGGAAAGGGATGGCCACTGACTGCTCCTCTGTCCTCTGTCTACCAACTGCTATTGCTTTTGAGGATCCCTGGGAAGTAGGGGGCACTCAGAAAGATTAATCAACCCCCTTATCTGACTTTGCTCCCAGTTTTTTTTTTTTTGACTATTAGATCATTTTATTTATTTATTTTTTTTACAAATAGATTATTGTCAAATTAGTTTCCACATAACACTCAGTGCTCATCCCCACAAGTGTCCTCCTCCACCCCCTCCCCCCTCCCCCCATCAGTCCTCAGTTTTTGTCATTGCTCCCAGTTTTTGAGTTAGTGCACTTTGATTCAGCCTCTCGCAAGTCATCATATCCATTCACTTACACCAAGTCATATGTTTAGTTGAGTGAGATGTCCTGAAACTGAATTATATTGATTACAGGGCTTTAATAAATTGAACCTCTTGGGTGGGGGTGGTGTTTAAAACAACAGATTTATAACAGTTCTGGAAGGTGGAAGTCTGAAATTAGTTTTGTGGGGCTAAAATCATGGTGTTGGCTGGGCTGTGTTCCTTGTGGGAGCTCTGGGGAAGATTTTATTTCCTTTTCTTTTCCGGCTTCTAGAGGCGGTTTGCACTTGTTTGTGGCCTTTACTCCTGTCTTCAGAGCACAGCATTCTAACCTCTGCTGCCATCACCACAGCTCTTTTCCTGTGACTCTGAACCTTTTGCTTCCTTATGATTATGTTGGGCTCACCTGGATAATTTCAGGAAAATCTCCCAGCTTCAAGATCCTTAATTTCATCCTATCTGCAAAGTCTGTTTTGCCATATAAGCTAACATTCACAGGTTTCAGGGCTTGGAATGCAGACGTTTGGTCAGGGGAGGTGGGCTGTTTTCAGCCTACTACTCATTCCTTCTGTGCAGTCGTTTACAAGTTATGTGATCATTTACATAGAAAAAGCTAAGATAATTTACAAACATTAGAATTAGTATGAGACTGGGGCGCCTGGCTGGCTCAGTTGGTTAAGCGTTCAACTTCAGCTCAGGTCAGGATCTCACAGTTTGTGGTTTCGAGTCCTGCATCGGGCTCTATGCGGACAGCTTGGAGCCTGGGGCCTGCTTCGGATTCTGTTTCTCCCTCTCCTGCTTGTGCTCTGTCTCTCTCTGTCTCTCAAAAATAAACGGTAAAAGAAAATTAAAAAAAAGAATTAGTATGAAACTTTAGCAAGGTGGTTCAATTGTTTAATTCAGACACAGAGCTGAAAAATATTTTTATAAGAGACATCATTTACAACATAAATTTTAAAATACTTTGCAATAAATCTAACAAAAGATGTTTAAAACCTTTATAAAGAAAATTACGATGTGAGCTAGACTACCAGTTTCTAGTCTGGCACGTATGGAGCTTGGAATATGGAAGACGTCACTTCATCCTACAATGAGTAAAAAGCCGAACAAACCGAAGAGTGAACAAGCCTTGGATCCATCAGAGAAGTGAGGTCACAGGACAAGGTCACAGGGCAAATTGCTGTCCCGAAATTGGAAAGACTGAGAGAGGTGAATACAGAGAATTACAATTTACCAGAATGGAAATCTCTGTGGAAACCAGTGCCAGGTTAGGAAAATCCAAACTATAATTGATAAATTGCTAGAGGCTCACTGTGGACAAGTCTGAGAATTAGAATCTCAGGGACCAGAGGGATGCAGAGGGACCCAGGGACCCTCACACTTCTGTGAGTTTTATCTCCAGGAATTCCTACATTCAACATTTTAATTCATAGTTCATGATGTGGTTCTAAATATGCTAGGAAAAAAAAAGATTATTCAAGAATATCATTGAAGGAAGAAAAAATCCATTAACCAGCCATAAGTCATTTATGTTTACAAAATACACTTTTTAAAATGCACCAGATAAAGCAAATATTTAGGCTTAAGCTATAATACCTTCTTTTGTTCTTAAAATATTTTTCACCAGTGTATGAATTAGCCAGGTTAGTTGGGATCACACCTCCAGTGAGAGTTCATGACCCTCCCCCCCATACTATCTGTCAGCCATCAGCATACTGTTCTCTCTACCTTTAAAAATACTCTAAATTCGTCTTCCCCTGCTGCCATCTAAGTCCAAGCCTCCATCTTCTTTTTTTTTTTTTTAATTTTTTAAATGTTTTTTTTTATTTATTTCTAGGAGAGAGAGAGAGAGACAGCGTGAGCAGGGGAGGGTCAGAGAGAGAGGGAGTCACAGACTGAAACAGGCTCCAGGCTCTGAGCTGGCAGTCAGCACAGAGCCCGACGCGGGGCTAGAACCCACAAACCCTGAGATCATGACCTAAGGGAAAGTCGGACGCTTAACTGACTAGGCCACCCAGGTGCCCCCAAGCCTCCATCTTCTTGCCTCGACTACTACAGTAGGCTCTAAATTGGGTCTCCTTGCTTTCTTTCTTAAACATAATGCCGTGCCCTGTCCAGCAATTTGGCTGTACCTTTTGCAATTTAAGTTAGACCAGGTTTTTCCCCTGCTCAATCTTTTAAGTGATTCCTGTCACACCAGAAAAAATGTCTTCCACATTGACCTTGGTCTGCGGGGCCATTCAGATCCATTTCATCTCTCCTGGCTCATGCCATGCCAGCTACATGGGCTGCATTGTTGTTCCCTGGTTGTGTCAGACATTCTTCTCTCTCTGTCCAGAACGCTCTTTCTTTCAGAGGTCCGTGTGCCTTTTCTTTCCTTTATTCTGTTCTCTTTCTACTCTAAAGCCACTCCTCATCATCCCCAGGCTCTACCTAAATAGCCTTCCTAGTCACTCTATCCCCATACTCTGCATTTTTTTTTTACACTTTTTATATTTGTTGTTAATATTTACTTGTTTATTGTCTGCCTTCCCCACTAGAAGTTAAGGTCCTGAGGTCAGGAACTTTTTGTTTTATTCTTTTTTATATCCACAGTGCTTAGAAAATAGTATTCTTTAGTAAATTCTCATTGAATATTAGGGCATAGAGATATATTAACTTCTCCAAACCTACATTATTAGAAGGTAGCAGAGCTGAGATTCAAACTCAGGTCTGTCTGACTTCAGAATCTCAGCTTGTTAAATTAAACCAATCGTAGTGCCTATATATGACCCAGCACCAGAGATCTCAGATTATCCATTACTGTACATTCTCATACTTATTGTTTCGAAGTAGTTCATGATTTTCCTTTAGATGTCTAATTAGAACTCTTCCTCACAGATGATTATTCCTGTTGCTGCTACATTTTATTGCTTTCCTTCTTACCAGTTTTATGGTATAAATCAAGGTTAGATGTTTTATCGACACAAAGTATCTTGTGTCACTTTCCCTCTTCCCATATATGAGACATAGTGACTTAAACTATTGTACATTTTGTATAGTGGTTCATAAATGTATGACTGTTTTCATTCTTCTGTGTATTGTGTTCGATATATGAACTGCCCTCAAGAAGTTTGCAGTCTAGTGGATATAGAGGTGGGAGACATATCCACAAATGACTCCTGTACAAAGTAGAATGTTCTAAATGGTCGAGTGTAAGAGATGACAGGAATACTCATAGAAAGGTTGAGTAAACCAGGGAAGACTTCATAGAGCAGGTAGACTTTGAGAGGAGTTTTAAGTAGATGTTTGAGAATTCTCTTGCAGGAGGAATGAGCAGTATGACAAAGGTGTAAAGGCTGAATGAGAATCTAAAGAAGGGATGCAGTCCAGGTTGGGTATGGGGGGTGGGGGGGCGGTTTGGGTCTGTGTCAGGTGATGACTCAAGTGCCTGGTTGGTAACTAGCTCACGAGGCAGTAGACTTTACAGGTTTTGACCTGTGTTACTAGGTTTGGTTTATCTAATCTGGATTAGAGCCAACAAAGACTGTAGACAAGAAACTAATTATGAGGCTGCAGTAAAATTTAAGATTAAAAAAAAAAACCCAACAACTTTGTATAGGTCTATAGCAGTGAGCCTTGGAAGAAGGGAATAAATGTTGGCACTGGCTGAAATAAAATCTTGAAGGCCTATCAATTCTCACATATTTTGAGTAAGGAAGAGAGAAAAATCAGTTGACCACTATTTAAAACCTGTTTCACTAGGGGAATGGCATTCATTAGTAGAAATGAAATGAAGATGAAAAACATTTTTGAGGGAACATCTTCCTTCAAAATGATGTATGTCTGGTGTTGTACTGGTGTATGTCTGGCTCATGTACTATGAACTTATTAGTAGTGAAGGTGCTTAATGGGAAAGGTTTTATTTTTCCTCACTATTTTTATCAGAGGTATAAGCATCTCTCAGAGATAATAACAGGTTACACTAACCAAACATGAAATATGTTTTAGTTTTTGCCAACATTTCTAGAAAC